AAATTCTGCCCCCCACAAAGATGACGCTCTCTGCCGTGTTGGGTGGCGATCCCTCTTGGATGATAATAGCCAAAGGAATATTTTTGTACGGGGCCCGGGTCTGTCATTCCCAAACCCGTTCTAGCTGTGAGACAACAATTTAACACGGAATCATACTTTCGAAGGAGATTTCGAGCCGCGAATGCCCAATCTCGCTTCAAAGCAGACCCAACTGGGGCCTCCGGGGTGCTTGAGCGTCTCGCAGCTGAGCTCAAAGGACCTTTCGCACGGCGTCCATGGGTCAAAAGGTTCCCAACCGCAATCCGGCCAATTCTACCACCCATAATCGAGATTCACGCGCTTCTGTTACCGTTTCCACATCTCCATAACTCATCAGCGGGAACGCTACGATATCTTCACGAGCCGAGTCCTCGAGCTGGTATCTGAGTGTGCGCGATCTCCTTCCTGCGTTGAAGATTTCGGGTATCTCAAGGCAGAGGTGCTCAAAGTCCCCGCCAAAGACAGGCTGCAGTGTGCTCTACGGATTGGCCAGCTTGCCGGCGACGAACATGAGTCGATTCCTGGGAATCTCAAGGTGGTACTCTCAGCCGGTCTCGTGGAGACGTTGAAGGTGGAGGATGTCGCTGCGAGCGATGATGTGAAAGCGATGCTGGAGACTTGGGCACAAAGCTCCAATGAGTGGGTGCGAACAATGGCGTGGCAGCAGAATGAGAGGTATGCGATGTTGGATACAGGCGCGTGAGAGCGGACATTGGAATGGCCGATGCTTTCAAAAGTACGCGAGATTGAATATCAAATTCTCGTCTATAGATGTAATTATTATATTTTGATTGATGTGACTGTATATAATGCCTTGTTCATTCATTGCTTAGGAACCGATTCGAAACAGGTTGGTCCGTCGGGTGTTGTAGAGGAATCTGAACTCATAGAGCACTTGTCGTAGCCAATATATCAGCGCCAGGATTAGCGGCCAGGGCCCATGAGCAGGGGCTGTCAGGTGACCGTCCAGGCGCCCGGCACCCCGCAATTTAGCCTCCCGCCGAACCGCCGAGCTAGCGAGTCAGCAAGCTTCCGTTTCCAACAATCGAGCACGCGATGTCGAGCCACCGTCTCGTTTCTCCTGCATCACCTCGACGATTGGGGCTCACACCTGCATCTACAGCCCAGAACCGGAGTCAGGCTAGCTCAACTATAGGCTGCAAAACGCGGTACGGAGTCAAATTTCTGGGACGCTTCGCTGATCCTTGGTACGTTGCCATACTTCGACTGCTGGTCTAAACGTTTCTGACTCTCTGGCTATCACATCATAGATCCCTCCATATTGCGCCGGATTATTTAAAAGCATTCTGGAACGTCCTGCTACCTTGCCATTCCTAGCTTCCTCCTCTATTTTCGTTGCTCTACCGGAACGTACCAGTGAACTATGGCATCCCAAACGCAGGCACCGGGCGAGGCACCTTGCGGGGGTGCTAGCAAGAACAAGCAAGAGTCCTCGCTAAACGATCGTTTCTTCCGCTATTTCCAGCAGGAGATTACCGGTACGTCTCCGTCTCTCTTTCATTCCGCCAGAGACGTTCTTCAACTAATATGCTTTGGATTCCAGCCTTGCAGGAGGAGATGGATCGCCTCCCTTTTACTTCGACGGCCGGAGGGGAAACTAGGGATGCTATCGACCATTGTCTTGCCGGGATATCGCGCCTGTCGAGCGAGGTTCAAGATGCATCCAGTTACGTACCGCCCTATGACCAACGCATATATGCTGAAGTATGTTCCTCGGAATCAACCCGAATTCTTATAATTCCAACCCGGGATCACCCTTTTCAGTCCAGGCGTTGAGCTTCTCTCTATACTCTTCTTACACTTTGTAGGCGATCAAAGCTCTTCAAGAGAAACTAGCGGAGACTCGGGCGGCCATTGCTCCTAGGCAAAAGTTTGCTTTTAAAACTGCACGCAAGAATCCCTCCGCAGTATCTCTGGCGGACATGGCCGAACTCGATGCTCAAGGCCGTCGACATATCCCCGGCTACCGCTCCAGCGACAACTCGTCCATGGAATCGTCACTTACCGTAACCCCTCTTGACACTCGTTCTCCTGCCATCCCTGGATTAGATACCAGCGGTTTGGGTAGAAATTCTTCCTCTTTGGCTGAGCGAACTACGGTAGATGCGGCCAACGGGGCAACCACTGCAAAGCACACTATACCGTCAGACGCGTCAACGATATCTGTGGACTCACGAACCAACGTGCATCTTATCCTATCAAGTCCAATAGGACATCGAACCGTCCCTGTTTCCATCACTTCTTTGAAGCGCTCTGTAATCGATCTCATCAATGGACTCCCGTTTGCCGCGATGGCTATAAAAGATGTCACTGACAGCTTACTTATGTGTGGTGAAGTAAAAGGCGCAGCACATATTACCGGAGTCAGAAACTCGGTACTCGCTGTATCATGCCATCAATTCAGAATGCACGACTGCAGCGATGTTACAGTCTATCTTGGCTGTTCGAGCACTCCTATCATCGAAAACTGTCACAACATTCGATTCAATCATATCCCCAACCCATTGGTAGGTTACAACAAGATTTCTATCTTTCATGTATCCTAGCGAAGCTTGTACTAACAATGGCGGAATATCCAGCTCAAGGATTCTGTTGAATTCACCGTGAAGGATAGCTGGTCCAACATCGATGATTTTAGTTGGCTAAAGATGGGTCAAAGTCCCAACTGGAGAGTGACGGACGAGAAGGGATTTAATCCAGATGATATATGGGCGAAGCTATCCAGCGGTGACGGCGACTGGGCGCTAGCGACATATTTGCTCGCATCGGAAAGCAACGCTGCTTGAATAGAATGTATTGGGCGGTGATCTTGATGGTTAGCAGCTATATACTTATCGTTTACTCACTCTCTCGCTTCATAAGTTCGACGGCCGTGTCGATGTCATAGAGGTCGCTCGATGGGATTAAGACGGTTGGAAAGAATATGTCGCTGATATTTGGAGATGAAGTATGAACTTCGATGCTTCACAGACGCTGTCTTTTAGAGCATATTGGATCGTCTCAATACTTGCCGTTTGAACGAGAAAGAGAAAATACACTCGTATAATATATACATCTAGATACGTAGAGCAAGCGATGAACACCATGGATATCTAATATGCTAGGAATTTAACTTCAGAAATCGACGGCATAAAAACGAAAATGCATGGCTTTCTACATGATTTCATTCAATCATTCAAACATGATATGACACCAGGAGCATCAGAAACCCACACACATGGCCGCAACCCACGCGTAGAATCCTTTAGCACAAGGAGCCCTTCCCAAATCATCGCTTCCTCAAATCCACCGTTTCAAACTCCAACCCTTTTGCCTCAAATACATGCCCCGGCCTCAGCGCATCCGTGTAGATATCCGCCTCCCCATGCGGGTGAAACAATCCACTCTGCGTACACGCCAACACCGTCTTCAGCCCCGGCGGGTCCGTCAGCCGAAACACCCCCCAATCCGGCGTCTTGCTCGGCGCACACACGATCGCTATGCTCTCCGCCAGCATGACCTGATAGCCCGACTGCGTGTGCAGGTCGCGCGAGCTCATGAAGCACGTCTGCGTGGGGTGGGTGTGAATCCAGCCGAGGACCATGAGGTCTTCGGCGTCGCAGTACTCGAAGACGGCGGCTTCGTTGATCATCTCGCAGGTGTCGGGGGTGGATTCCTGGTCGGGGATGAGGAGCTTGGAGATGAAGAAGGCGTTGGAGATGAGGGAGCCGCAGAGGATGCCGCAGGTTTCGAGGTTGCGGAGGGTGTTGGGGCGGGCGATTTCGAGGAAGCCCTTGCGGAGGTCGGGGGAGATGAAGATGGTGCGGAGGGGGGTGCCGTTTTCGAGGTAGGATGACGGTTTGAAGGTGAATGTGGAGGGCTGGAGGTCTGAAGAGGATGGGCTGATGTTGTTGCTTTGGCGAGTGGGCTCGGGGGAGAGGGTGTCGGTGGTGGTGTGTGCGATCTTGCCGGGAATTGGTGGTCCAGCTGCAGGCGGGATGGGGATAGTGTCCGAGGGGAGTTCGGGGAGTTTGGCGGGAGGAGTTGGAGGCTGTAGCGGAAGCGGTTGAACGAGCTCTTTGCTGGGGACGGGTGGGATTGTTTCAGTGATACTGAAGGAGCTTTGTCCAGGAACGGCAGGGTATCTATAGGTCGTCGTCGAATGGTTCAAGTCAGGCCTGCGCGACGGAGCCTGGTCTCGAGTAGCCTGGAAAGGTAGTGCTCTTCTGTTATACGACTGATCCTGTTCAACTCTGGCCCGCACTTCTCGAAGCCGTCCAGCCAGGTCATCTCCATCTGTCCCATCATCCCCCTGGTCTTGACCGTACGGCGCTGTTTTGTGTTGCTGCCGCGAGTGATATCCCTCATTCAGGTATCGCCCTAGTTTGGCCGCCGCTCTTCGTCTCAATTCCGTTTGCGCAAGCTTCACAGCCAAATCCTTATTCTCTGCAGCGGCAAGGGGCAATGCTCGCCCGGCTATAGCAGGGTCAAGGGCCTCAGGTCTGCGCGACGTAGCCACTTCATTCCGCAGTTGAGAGGCTGGAGTCTGCCGGGACTCGTTGTCGCGAAGGCCCTGAATATACTGTTCATAACGCTGGTTGATCCGGGGCTTGAGGATTTCCAATCGCTCCAGGGAGTGCTGCACTTCCCGCCGCGCTTCGGCTACACCGCGTCGATAGGCTGGATCGATGGCTTGCGGGTGTCTGATCACATTGACGAGGACGAGTTGAGCGTGCCTGAAGAGCAGCAGGTATGCCTGCTGGTCATTTCCTTCTCGTTCGTAGACGGCTGCCTGAGTACAAGGTCAAGGGTCAGCATCAGTGCTATAGCAGGCTGGGGAACTCGGGCAGTGCAACCTCTTTCACCAGCGATGTAGCCGTTCTGAGCCAGTAGTGCAGCTTCACGGCGGGGTCAAAGTCATACTCTGCGGCCTGGCGAGCAATCTCCGCAACGTTGAGAGGCGGAATCATGGCTGCTGCCGGCGAGATAGAGTCGATGGAGAAGCCTCTATCCTTGACTTGAGAGAGCAGGGTGACAGAAGAATGAACGGAGCTCGGTCGCTAGTTAAGTAGATAGCTGGTGAAGGATCGCAACCAGCTCGTCTCTCCCAAGGTTGATATTCAGTGAGCTAATAACTACCGAGTTCGTGCTGCCAGCTTCTTCGATTCACATTCAAAGCGATGGCCATCGATAGCCCATCCCCATCGTCTGCTCGCGATTGACGCTGTGCGAGTGCTGGCTTTGAGTCTGTCTCTTCAGGCGACCGCGTTTCTTCCTCTGATGTCACCTCGCCGGCGCCAAGCAGCTTCTCGTCGCAAGCAAACAGATATCCGCAACACGCTGAGCAACCCTGCGATGCTCCCCAATTGCTGCTGAAAGAACTCATGCGGAGGTGTCTTTCGTGGAAGCCAACGCCGATCGGTTGGACGTCCGTCCGCCGATATTCCTGCTCGCCCGGTCTCTCAGCACCAGCTCGAGACAGCCACTCCATCCACATCGCCAGTGAACAGCTTTGCGGTCAGAAGCCTAGAGATACTCGCCGTGAAAATTGCAGAGTGCTAACCGCTTTCTTAGACGATATACTCGAGAGACTCGCTCCCAGCTTCTCCAGCAATGGCCCCATCGATATCATCGACCTTTACCCCGGCACCGGCCTCTTCTCAACGAAAATCAACACGCTCCTCAGCCCGCGACGCCATATCCTCCTTGAACCGCACGAGAAGACATATCTCCCCCATTTAAAACCCCTGCTAGAACGCAGTTCACGCTACACGCTTCTACCATGGGACCCTCTCGATGAGAACTCGATTAACAAGCTGTTCTCACCCGAACACCTCCCCGAGCAACTCCAGCGCGATCTGGGCCCCAAGGGAGCGTGCCAGGCCAATCCCTCTTTGCTAGTGCTGGCAAACCTGACACGCCACCGACGGAACTATGCGACGAGGAGCATAACTTTCTTCCGACATCTGGAAACCTGTCTTGATCAAACGCTCTTCCACCAGTTTGGTCTGGTGCGGATGATCACCATGTTCGCCGAAAAAGACGCCAGGACACTACTACCTAGAGCCCTGTTCAACCGGAGGAGATGGGCGGTACTGTCGGAGGCAGTGGGGTCGGAGCTGGTTCAACTCACGGGAGACACTCTTGAAAGCAACAATGCTGCCATAAAAGGAGGCCCCTGTTGGGAGCAATCCGTGGAAGAAACTGCTGCGCGCGCGAAAGCAGCAGGCATCTTAACTGCTTCGTCCCGGCAGCCAGAGCCAATAGAAAAGGCACCTGCGCCATTGATGATAAGAAAGAGACCTATAACCGTTTACGACCGGCCCAAGCAGGACTGGCACGACAAGTATCTCGAATACTATGAAGAATGGCGACAACATAAGGAAGCCAATCCTAAATCCACAAGAGTCCCGGACCCTGAAAAGGCCAAACGCTTCACCCTTTATCGAAAGCGGCTCTTCCTCGAAAATAGACAGGTGCCGATAATCGAACAAGCCGCCAGCAAAAACCTCGCCATAGACTCCATCCGCTCCCAACTCCGCACCATCATGGACAATGGCAGACCATATCCCGCCCGCACCACCGCCCTCGTCTCCCAGCTGGACGCCCTGGTCTCCGAGCGCCAGGAGCTCTACTCCCAACTGACCCCCCTGGCCCAATCCCACGCCATCCAACGCTACCAGGAATCCCAAAACCTCACCAACCCCAACCGCACCGCCCGCCTCCTCTTCTGGGACCGCCGCCCCTACGAGCCCCTCCGCGTCCAACCCACAGAATTCCACCCCCAGACCCCCTGCGCCCTGCTCGACTTCCACCCCAACCCGTCCTCCCCCATGCTCCACACCCTTCAGCAACACATCGCCGCCCACAAACCCCGCGACGCCTACCTCAACATCATCACCGTCTTCCAGCACCTCCTCCGCGCCATCTCCCGTGGCACCGCCAAAGCCGTCGACCGCACCCTCCTCCGCCCCTTCTTCCCCGGCCGCTCCGTGCCCGAGCTCGTCCGCGCCATACCCTCCCTGCGCCGCTTCGCCATTGTGAATGCGTCGTATTGCGGCGAGCGCTTGCCGGAGAATCTGCAGCTGGAGTACGGTGAGGATTGTCTGTCGGAGACGCTGGTGAGGGTCTTGCCGGCTGAGGTGTTGTGGGATATCGCGCTGGAGTGGGATCGGTGGCCGATGAAGCCTGTGGATGCGCGGGATCTGTGGAAGCTGGTGGGAGGACATCGGTTGAACGAATTGGAGTCAACGTTTACGTCGGGCAGGGCTTGAACTGCATCTGGGTTCAGCCTGCGGCTTCTAGCGCGCTTGGGTACTTTGGAGCTAATATAAATGTACATTAATCAAACATAGACTTGCACTATTAGAATTGACTAGGCGTGAAATCATTATTTTTTGAATCTTTGAACTTCTACTCTAGTTAAAATCTGCCATTGTGAGGATATAATAATTTCCAATAAACGCCAGAGCCGCCAGTAAAGAAGTGTGAGAGTAACAAACGCAAGTTCCATCAAACATCACAATGCAGCAAGCCAGCCTAAAGATAATCTACTTATACACCTGATATAACTGCGCAGCAAAGCCCATTATTTTGCTCACTCATCCTTGCAGCAAAATCACCCTTTAGCCACTATAGGCCCAAGTGCCAGGCCGGAAAAAAGGCGCTTCATCTTACAATGGCTCAGAATGGCGGCGATACATTGGTAGGCCAAAACTATCCACTCCGGGAGCAGGCCCATCCGGCTGTCCAGGTGCCCTTGGAGGAGCTGGGACGCTTTGCCCTCTCTTCTCCGTAAAACGAGGCCACCTCAACGTAGTTGAATTGGCCGACCAAGGGGTTCCCGATCTGCAGGAGCTGCTATATTGAGATCCAGCAATCGAACTTGGACGTGGAAAATCCCACATTGGCTGAGGGGAAGGTCCGGTACGATGTGCATCCAAAGAATCATTAAACCGCGTCGCAGAGTCCGATGATGGGTATGGCACCGCCCCAGGCCCTTGGCCTATATTTGCATCAAACGTCGTTCCCGCTGGAAATCGTCCGTGCCTGTTAGCTGCGCTCGCCGCTCCCCATTGCCCCATGATTTGGATATCATAACTCCCGTACCACGGGATCTCATAGGGCAAAGCGGGAGCCATATTGTCCAGCAACCTGTCATTGTTGGCCCAGTCCCAGAGTCCCGCAATGACTATGCTATGAGGTAGCTCATCAACGGCAATGAGCGGGACCCGATCTCCACCGGGACGATAAATGAATAATCGAGGAAAAAGTGGCGTGACCGGCACATCGACGTTCGTGGATCCATCAACAACGGCCGGTTCGAGGGGAGGATAGAGCGCTGATACACCCTCAGGGTCTAGTTGCGAAGCGAACGCGGAGCTGTTAGAGAGCCATTCTGGAGGGGCTTGTCGAAGTGGCATCTCTTTGGATTCGGCAAATGGGCATGTCTCTGAACCCGCGATACAGCGCTTTTGGACCATGTCGGGTGATAGTTGAAGTTTACGCCGTTTTCCGCCAAATTGAATGAGTAGAGAGGACGCTTTCCGGACAAACCGACCAATGCTTTCCATAAAATTCGAAGATTTGGGGCGTGAGTCGAGGAAAGATATTATCTAGCCTGAAGAGATCATTGAAAGATAAAAATACCTGAACTGTAGGAGAACAAGGATAGATACTTTTAGGATACAATGAGAATGAGCACGGGGAAGAATCTGCCAACCATCCGGGGTCCATGCGAACGCATATCAATCGCTAAGAGAACAAGAAGGCGGGTGCTCGACGACAGGGTAGGAGCAGGCCGAACTCGCGAACGAGGGAAGCCATATCCTGCAAGACACATCGCTTCCTCAAACCAGCAAAGGCGGGACGAGTCCCGGAAGGCCTCCAGATCTTCGTACATACATGTTTTTTTGTCATCATAAGCGAGGGTATCAAAATGAAGACGTAGCCGGTATCCATGGTCAAAGTGGAATCATCGGAACAGTCTAGTGCCATGGAACGTCGCATACACTTTGAAAACCATGCGGAAATCATAAAAACACAGTGTTTGGGTGAACTGTGTTTAGCTTGTTGGTTGCTCAACAAGGTGCGAATAGAATAGAACCCCAGTCAATGAACGCATCATCCGACGACATAAGCAACATGCAAGAGTGAATCATGAGATATTGCACCGAAACCAAACCCCACGCCTGTGCTCACAAAACAGAAAAAAAGGAAGAACATGTTATACAAAGCAATCACGGCGGCAAAGGGAACAGGTCTTCTCTTCCGGAATCGATCAGATCCAGCCATTGAAGGGGTTGAATCCTACTATTGGGATCTTTCACAATAGCTGGTGACAATATGCGCTCGACCGTGCCCTTTCTAGGGACTCTCGAGCAATTGACGCCGCTTCGCACGAAATCCAGCACGCGATGGCCGTCCCTCGACATTGCTAGACACTGCATACTACCTGCCCCAGGATAGAGTTGCAAATCGCCCGTCACGGCTGTTAGAAGGGTGACGGCAAGAGAAAAGACGTCTGATGCTTTTGAAGGGGCGAGAGTGGATGATTTGAGGGCTGAGATGGTGAGTAATTCAGGGGCGGCGAAAGGAGGCGTCAAGGCTGACAGTGCCAGTCCGTGGTCCTTGGGGCATGCAGCCGAAGAAGAGAGATCGTCTGATGAGGTGAAATCGACGTACAGCAGATCGAATGGAAAGGTGTCCTCGCGTTTTGAATCCTGCTCTCGCAAGAGGATGTTTTGCGGCTTGACGTCTCCATGCACGATTTCGGCAGCGTCATGCAGCCACGCAAGTCCCTTGACTAGATGGCACGAGAGGGATAGCCATTTTGACATGCCAACGATAGGATCGAACATGGTCTTGGTGGAGAAATTATCTCGAGCAATCGCCGCGCGCGATGTGATATAGCTTGCGAGAGTCAATGGCAATGCTTCCATCACGAGAGAATGAGAGGGCGAAACGTAGCCCAAGAACGGGACAAGGTGGCTTTCGTGCCCAGGTATCGTGGATAAACGAGTTAGAAGCAAGGCCTCCGCCTTCAATATTCGGTAAGCATCTTTTCGCAGTGGCGTTTTGACAGCGAACACCCGATCGGGCTGGCTGTTGAGATTCGTCGATACATTGCTCGCAGGAGACACTGGCTCCGGCTCCTGGCAAACAGCGCTGTACACAATACTCCACGCACCACGGCCAAATTCGACGGGATCACCGCGGAGGTTCCGCTGTACTTCCAAATCCCATCCAAACTCGAGCGGATTCTTTAAAATAGTCGGCTGGGAAATACCTCTCGATGCTGCGGAAGGGCCCAAGAGGACAGGTCGTCGGTCAGAACCACTGGCCTGCACCCCGGAAAACGAGATCGGCGAGCGATCGTCCGCGACGGGAGTGAGGGGCGGAGTGGGATTTGTGGACACGGTCAGAGCGGGCGGATGGGCGGGCTTGGCATCGGACGGAGGCTTCACCACCAAAGCTTGATGGCGATCCACCGGGATTCCGCCGCCAAGATTCATTGAGGGAAAAAAAAAATGTGGTTATTGATGACTCCGCGAGAAAGTGAGAACAAGGAGGAATTCGAACGATCGCGATTTGTATGGGCGGGCTGCTAGGGGGCGCGTTCGCTGGGCTCACTGCTCCGTCTGATCGCGAATTGACTTTGGCGAAATCTGTATGCAGCTAGGGAGTGTGGGTGGAAACGTCATAGGGCTGACAGGAATCCCGAGAAGTTGTCTGGATAAATAGATTTCTGGCGAAAAAGATGATGCCCTTGTTGAGATATAAGCTTCGTCGGATGGCGGGAGGGCGGATGGCGAAAGAGTTATGCGCGTGGCGGCGAAGCTGTGGGAGCGATCAAAAGCCGAAAAAGCTCGGTTTTGCGGGAAATGGCAGCGCGGAAGGAAAAAGGCGAGACGGGCGCCGGGAGGGCGAGGGTCAGAGAGCAGTGTGCAAGGGCATTTTCAGCAAGGAAGGAATGAAGGAATCAAGGCTCTGCCGGTGGTGACTTGAAGGAGTGGATGTGAGTGAAAGAAAAGGGGGGTGAAAAGATAAAGGAACGGTTAGGGGAAGAGTCGTTTGGGTGCCGCGACGGGAAGTGAAATATGGACGATGATGGAATATATTTCGCGACAATTTCCAATCGACCCAGTGGGCGGAGACCGAAGATGCATTTCAACATGGGATCATCACACTTGCCATTCCCCTTGCCGTTTGTTAGCTCTGCCAAAGATATTAACGGGCCTCTATATTATTAGAAATAAATACGGCGTGCATCGATTCGTTAAGAGATCATGAGAAGCTATATCAGGTGCGTCACTACGGGGGACAGGCGAGATGTTGGGGGCGCCATATCCGGCCAGAGTACGTGGCTTGAACCCTGACGAAGGGCGGTTTCTGGAAGCCCTCCCCAGGCTCGCGACTGTGATTGCCCATATCCACAAAAGCACATGTGGTTAGGTTGGTTGGCGTTGAGCGATGGCTGTGCGTTGCTTTGTGGTTGAAGAAACGCAACAGAGAAAAAAAGTCGAGTTTCTTACAGAGTTGTTGGTGGCGCGTATTTGGTACAGTATCTGGGGGCGGTTGGCTGTGTATCAATGGTACGGAGGCGGTATTGGGAATGTTCGGCGAATGGATCGCTTCGCTGTAACAGTAGGATCACACCACAACGATTATTATTACGAGTCACAGCATCGTCCCTGGCAGGCCGCAAGCCTTCATGGGTTGCAAATGTGCGTGCTCGATCAGCGCAGTGAATCGCCATTGCCTTCTTCCATCTTCCGGGCGGCTGTGACTCCTGTGCCTGCTGTGACTGATAAAGGGGGTAATTCTGACCAATCCTGCCCAAAGGCCCTCCACGTGGAGATATCCTGGAGCCCTCCATAACACCGCAAGAAAGCGAAGGCATCAGCCAGCTTGCGGAGTCACTCCGAACTTGAATTTCCTACTGCAGCAATTGCCCTGGCCGGAGAATATTACTATGGAAAGCCCCTGTGTTGGCTTCCTGAAACACTCTGTCAGGTTGAACGAGCTGGCTTGGTTCTCAATTTGGCTATACCTGAAAAGCATTGCTCTGAAGATTGCGTGTTGGCCTGGACCTCTTGACCAACCGGCTTTCCGTTTGCGTTTACTGCATGGCCGCTGTGAACGTTGCCTGCTGTCTCCAGGACCCATGGTTTTGGCAAGAAAGCGGGACGTTTGGTCACTGTTGAGGTTTAGAGATGTCGCCAGCTGCGGCTGGCGAGCTGGTAGCATACCTACCAGAGATGAATCATGATCGGCCCTCCTTGAAGCAAGCGGACTCGAAACACACCAAGTGTTTGATCAAGGCGCCGCAAGCAATTTCAGATCTGGCCGTGTGATGCAGCCGATCCCTGGGCTGTCAGAAAATTCGGGACCAGGACTAGATTTGCGTTTGGAACGAGGCTCGCACCCCTCGCCATTTCAGTTTCAACCCCATGACGTCGAAGGTCAGCCCGGTTTGATCCCCACGCCGTGCCCTGTACATGAACACAGTGGGCTGTATAGATCCAGCAGCACGAGGCACGCGAACGTCGTCCTCCGCCGTGTCAAGCACTGACCCCCTGATAGTACTACCGCCCGCCTGGTTCAAGGTCGATCGAGAATAATAATACAGGCATTAAGAGTCGCTTTGACCCGAATATATGGTTTGTGCGCAGTCTTCTCCGGGGCGTGCCTGTGCCTCGAGAGCTGTCACTGTCGAATTTCGGGGTAGGGATGGTTACGCAGGACGGCTGCTGCTCTACTCCTGAAGAGCAACCCGCGTGGACGAGCCCAATCCACGTTCTGCGCACAGCAGGCCTGAGCAGCAACGAGTTGTCGTCGTTTCCTTCCCCCCTGACAGCCGCCACAACACCCTGCTTACATAACGCGCATGACGGCCGTGGCTCTGCGCTCTGATTGGCTGCAGCGGTGAATTGTGCTCGGGCCCGGCACACTCGAGCATCCACTTCGGAAGGCGGGACTGGCGAACACCCGAATCATTGCCTCTTCCAGCAGGCTCGGCCCCCGAAGCTTTGGGGATCGCCGCTGTGATTGGCCCGTCTGCGCTGAGGGCGCTGGATTCGGCAAGTGGTGTTGTGGGGGGCCAGAGCTTCTATGCGCCGCCGTCAACAGCTGGGACAGCCTGGGAGTGGTACCTGCGCGCACACCAATTCCCCGGTGACGTGCCGGGTACCACTACCGCCGCCAGCTCTGTCCTGGTTCCAGAATTGCTTCTTCGAGAGCTTCGTCCACACGTGAATCAATGCCTCTCCTGTGACACCATCCCCAAAGAATGGCCTCGCCGGTTTGCCCAAACCGTGCCTTGCGTTATCCTTTTTTTGCCATTCAAACGCAAAATCAACCGGCAGTTTGAGTTGAAATTGTAGCCGTATATGTGGCTGTCTTTACGTCCGTCTCCCAAGCTTTTGTCCATCCCACTCACTGCTTCTATATGCTCGTTGCAGCCACTCCTTAAAGCTTGCCTGCCCAGGTCTGTTGGTGAAATGCGGCCATAAGACGGGCCATCCTCTCCGCTCGAGGCACTTAACATCAGCATTGAGAACTGTGAGCAAATGTCCAGGGCCACCTCCCCTCAGTCTGCCGGTGAACTTCCACCGCCCAAAGTATCGCCACCCAATGGCCGCCGTCGTGACAAGGCCCAGCTGTCGTGCATGTTGTGCAGGCACAGAAAGTACAGCTGCTTCCTCCCGTCCTTGTTGCCAGGCTGTGTACTGATGCGTTTTGTCCGCCTAGGTTGAGATGTGACCGGAGCCAGCCGTGCCAGAACTGCTCGAAAAGAGGCCAATCGTGTATCTATGCCCGTGCTCCCACGCACGCCAAGTCTACGCCGTCAACACGCCAGTATCCGGCCTATCTCAACAGCCTGATTGAACGCATCCACCACCTCGAGGACGTGGTGCTTCATCTGGTAAACAACCAGAAAGACTCCACAGCGGCTGAGAATGCCGATGCTCCAGGGGAGCCACAGAAAGTGACCGAGTCGGTGGGCCGCCTGAGCATCAAGGAAAACGGCACAAGCTACTTTGGCAACTCGACCTGGCAAGCGGTTCTGGATGAGGTTTGATGCATTGCCTTTTCTTTCTTTCGTCCTCCAACTGTGGCAAGCTGACGCCTGGAGCTTCCAGATAGGGTTTTTGAAAGAGGTTATACCTGAGAGTAGCGAGTCTCCTTTTACAGATCGCCCTGAGGATTTTGACGACGAGGATGGGATTGACCTGCTCGTGGGTGCGAAAAAACACCTTGACATCGCAGACCTATACGAGTCCGTTCCGTCTCGTGCAGTTGCGGACCCGCTGGTCCATTACTTTTTCGAGAATATGGAAGTATCACCATGTAGGTTTTTCCCGCACGGCGCCTGGGTTAACGAGATTCTGATATACTAGTAGTGATATTGCATTCTCCAACGTTTTTTAAAGAAGTAAGAAGAGCTCTGTTAAATCATATATACGGACAAGTGAGCATGGCTTCTCTAACACAAGTATATAGTACGAAGCTTTTTGGGCCGATCCCGCCACCGCGTCTCTGATATGGCTTGGTTTACTGTTTGCCATGCTATCTCTTTCGTCAAGTTTTCTCCTCCTCTCGAATGTCGATCCCGAACGCGAGAAGCCCCTAAGGCTAGACGCTACCATCTATCGACAAAAGGCTGCAGATTGTCTCTTAGCAGGAAATTACACCAAAGCGGGGAAGTACAATCTACCGTGTTTGATCTTATACCTTGCTTGTGAACGCCTTCGAAGGGGGGAATTTGATCATGGATTTCCCGTTCTACTTGCTACGATTGTCAGCCTGGCTTTGCGCATGGGCTATCACAGAGATGCGCGCCACTACCCGGAGCTTACTCCGTTTGCGGGTGAGATGCGCCGGCGGCTGTGGGCTGTCATTGTACAGCTTGATCTGACGATATCTGTTGGGGTACGAAGTGTACCACGACAAAAGGAATTCGTAGGCTAATTTTGGGATAGGTGGGGATTCCGAGATTGATAAATGATTCTCAGGCCGACAACGCACCGCCTCGAAATCTTCGAGAAGAAGATTTCTCAGAGGATTCCAAAGAACTTCCACCTCCGAGACCAGCGATCGAACCCACGGCGGTTACCTACGTTATCGCGAGGCAGCGCCTGATCAGGATGCTCGGGAAGATCAGCGATCTGACAAATTCTTCCACACAGCCCCCATATCAGACGGTTATGGATTACGATCGGGAACTGGTCAACATTTATAAGCAGTTGCCAACGTTTTATAAATTAGGGCAAGGCCCAGAGACACACGAACCGTTGACGTTCCTTCAGCGACTGTCGTTTGAGTCGCTATATGAGCAAGCAAGATGCACACTGCATCGGAAATATCTGACGTTGCCGGATCCGACGTATGCCTATTCGCGAGAAACATGCGTGGACGCCGCCTTGCGTATGCTCTCGCAGCAGCAGCTCATACATCAGGAAAGTCAGCCCGGCAGAAGCTTGTTCTCGCAGAGATGGAAGCTTCTGATGTATCTGAACCGGGAGAACCTGTTGGCAACGATGATTGTGTGCCAGGATGTGGACCATCTGCTAAAGAATGCCGGCGCATCAGGCAACCACACTACGGCGTTTGGCAGTCAGACTGTGCCTCTGGAGGCTAAGATCCAGGCCTTAGAGCAGTCCCTGTATATTTGGGAAACGTACCGGTCGATCTCAAAGGAAGCGTTGACAGCAGCAACTGTTGTGAATGTGACCATTCACAACGCTAGGCAAGCATCAAGCCCACCAGAAGTCCCTAAGGAGACTTTTGCATCTAAAATGTCGAGCTCCGTTAGCCCGGTGCAGAGTGTACATGGTGAGAAGTATACCGACAGTCCGATGGAATGTCCGCCGGTGGCGACTACACAGTATATGATCGGTATGCCCACTGAAGGATATCTTCACCGGAATAGTGTGGCTAATGATGCAGTCGACAATCAAATAGACAATCAACAGCAACAGCCGCCGCAGTTTCAGTATCGGCCTGACACCGTGTACCAGCAGCCACCTGCTGTGCTTCAACACGAAAGCAGCACGGGGGCGCTAGAACCGATGACGACAGGAATGCCGCCGAATCCGGCCTACAAGATGATGGAGACCATGATCGACGCGCCGGTCCAATTTGGCTGGGTAAGTGTGTTCTTCCCCTCCTGGCCGCTTGCGTGAACATAAGCTGAAGGTAGTTCTTTGTGCAAAAAAAGGGTGCATTTTGGGACAGCCAATTTTCGCGAGATTACCCGGCGGCAGGTCTCACGGCACAAGATGTTTGGAATGCTAATCACAATCGTGCTTTCCCGTCGGGCCCTGCAGGGACTGCGTTGGATCCCAGTGGGGGTTCGCGATACCCGGGATAATGCCGAGTAAATACTGTTTTCCAGCATATTCGTCGGATGGGATTTCCGCATGCTTGCGCTTTTTGTTTCAAGGACAAAGGGCAGTTGAAACCTGAGAAAAAATCCTGCTCAGGGCTTCTGGGAACGACGAGAAAGTGTTCTAACAGTGAAATCGTGGGTTTTTGATATCCTGATGTTCTGTTGCGTACATACATGGTCTATAAAATTTACGGGCAGGAATTATGGGCCGATGCTAGATTGATCCCGGCTCAGGCCCAACACAACCTGCACTTTTTTTCTTTGGGGCGTTGCTATTCCCTTTTTTCTTTTTTTACTCATGGAAAAGGTGGGACTAAAAGGGACCGATTCCTAACAGACGATTGAGCCGCAAACAAGCACATACCCCGGGAAGCAGAAGCCTCCCTTTAGGGAAATTCGGACGTTGCGGGTCGTCTCGAATTTTTTTAATTATTATTATTTTACTTGAATGGGAGAAGAAAGGAGGTGGCTGAGGTGATAGACGTTTGGAGATATAGTACATATGAAGAGACTGCATGCAGGGCATGGAGGATTAATTTCCGAATGAATATGGTGATCATATTGAGAATCTTATAAAAAGGGAGAGTGATTATGTTAATGAATGAATATAGTTTTCTTTTTTGAATTAATATGAAAGAGCCAACGGGCGTACTCTGTTAAGAAAAAAAGGGGGGAGGTGTTTTTTTCTTGAATATTCTTGTTGAGCTGGATCTTCCCTGCACTGGCTAAAGGATTCCTTTTTGAAGAGAAACAAGGAACAGGCCAGAAAGCGGGGGAGAGTAATGCACGAAAAAGAGAGGATGCCAAACTTTCTGCAGGGGTTGAAGAGGTATGGAAGATGCTTGTTCGAGGGAAGATCAGCCTCGCGTGGGTGGCGGGTTTTTTTTTTTCGAGGACAGCTGCCACGCTGGTGATGGGTTTTCGATGCATGGAAAAGAAGAGAAGCACATGCACATGTGTCGACAAAAAAGACCCGAAACATCCCACATGTTATGCGGGTGGATTAGTTATGCGAGATTTTGGCGTGTGGGATAGAGTGGTTTTGAAAATGCTATAATTAACCGGTTTGCTGTTTCTGTTTTATCTGAAGGATTCGACGAGATGGAACAAAAAGAATACCGATTAAATGATGGGGACGTACGTTAGATCCAGGCCCGTCCACGATGGAAAAATAGCCGACCGGGGAACCAGCTCTGTAGTTACTTGACCTCGCTTGTCTCGGAGCTCCTCATGAGAGAGGATATTATGGTACGACGGCCGGCCGGAAAGCATGTCTTGCACCGGTTTTTGTTGTGTGCGTGTGTGTGCCATGTAACAACGGCGAGTTTAAAGTTGACATGAATGTCCCATGTTATCGGCGGGACCAGGTTGAGCTGGGTTGCAAACGCAAGCAGCAAGGTTTTGACATGGGACATGGGTGGTCGACCGAGCTGCTCGCCTCTTTTCTTCTCTCCGGCCGTGTTCTCTGTCTGGGTGTTCGGTTCGGAGAAGGATTTGGGAGCAAAGAGCGATGTGAACATGTGGCTTTCTCGAAAAAAAGGGAGCTGTTGGGACAAGGCCGACCGGGGGGGCCCAGGGGCTCGAGGGTCGATGGACTGGACGTTTCAGGATCTGTCTGTTAATGTTTGGTGCAGGAGCACTTCATGCTTTCTCAACTGAAGGAAACGGACGGCATGACTGTGGCCTTTTTATTATCCATTTTCGGATGATGTGTTTGTGTGATTCTGGAAAAGGAACGGGGCTTCGTATCCGGGTGATCGCTTGATACGGAGTCCACATGCATCCAAGCACTCGAGTTCGTGTGAACGCGACTCGACGCGGCTTCGTCGTCTGGTCTCCATAGTTCGTGGTGATAATAACGGGGGGGACCTTTTTCCTCACAGCGAGGTTTGAGAGCAAAGAGAGAAGAGAAGAATGAGAAAGACAGCAAGAGGATTCGTCTGGAGAGCGAAATGAGGAGATATAAATAGTGGCCAATCATAACGCGGGGTTCATGCCGATGCGGTCTTAGCGCACGCGCGGTAGCCTTGGCACAGTAAATTAGCCAATAGGAAACAAGTCAGGTGATCTACACGACATGAAACGTCGATAAACCGCATTCGGCTAGCGTGCACTGGCACCGAGTCAGCCAATCAGACCGCGGCACCGTGACGCCGCGCTGCACCAATCACAGCACTGGAATTACGTGATTGGCCGGCGTGTGCTGAGTCAGCCCGGCTGAGTGTTTGGCAGCGCAAGTGCGGCTAGCGTGCCAAGGCCCGCGTCGAGTGCAATCTCCCACCGTTCTGGATTTCTTTCTTATTCTTATATCTATCTTTAGAACGTCCCGCGTCTACCGTCCATCACCACCACTGACTGCTCTCTCCACGACGGCACCACCGCTGCCCGCCCTGAAACCACCACTGACACCCGCTGGCTTCAACACATCTCTCCACACTGGCCCCGATCGCCCGTGTTCCTTATCCTTACTTCAACCGCTCGTTCTTAGTCCGATCGTCTGAATCTTTCCCCCCCCTCCTGCCCACGTCGCTGGATCATGGTCGCTGGAGCACCGTTTCCACGTCTCCAGATTCGCTAATCATCCCCACGTCCAGGCTACGTTGATAGTCGTGACTCTGCTTTTCTATTCGCTTCGCAGCCGTGCGACAGTCTCCCCCGTGCAGGCCACAGTCTCGCCGCTCAACCACAGGCAAGAGGGGAACACGCTCCCAAACAGTTCAGCGACCTTTGTAGGTCTCAACACTCCCCGAAAATGGGTCGCAGAAAGATTGAAATAAAAGCGATCAAGGATGATCGCAATCGATCAGTGTAAGCTCTGCTCCAACAGCCTTTCAGGCAGGAATCTTCGCGGTGGCTGACCTTGGCGGCTCTATTTACAGAACGTTCCTGAAGCGCAAAGGAGGCTTGTTCAAAAAGGCGCATGAATTGTCTGTTCTCTGCTCCGTGGACGTGACTGTGATCATATTCGGGCACAATAAGAAGCTATACGAGTTCTCGTCCGCAGACATCCAAGAGACCCTAGGACGGTACCAATACGTGAGTCGTTCCGCCCGACAACTACATTCAAAGATGTTTCATGCTGACCGCGAATCATTTCCCGCAGTATGGCAAGGCACATGAACACAAGGGCCCTGCTGATTTCACTGGAAAACAGAACATGGACGACGATGACGAAGACGATGGCTCCCTTCCCCCAGAAGATGTCCAGTCGCAACGTAACCATAGTAATCCCGTTCCACCACAACCTCATCAACAAACGTTCCAGCATGTGAACCATACTCCTTCTGTGTCTCCACCGATACCCAACGGTGTCCAGTACCATCCTCGTAATGGAACCCCTCTGCCTCCGGGCGTCAATTCTAGACCGTCGTCGAGAAATACCGTCCCTGCAGTGAACTTGGTTCCTCCGCAACATCAACACGCAACACCGCCGCCGCAGGCTCAGAACGGTTACGCGTATATGCCGAACGGACCTGTCTACAATTCCCAGGCAAACCCGCACCCTCCTCGACCAGGCCCACAGTTTCAGTATGCAAGACCGCCTCCACCTCCGCCACCACAGCACCAGTCGCAACACCCCGTGGGCGTCTCCCACCACCCCCAACAGCCTCCTATTCCAACTCATCTTCAACACCAGCAGCACCAGCAATCACATCCACAACATCATCCTCCATCGACCCAGCACCCGCCTTTACCGCATCATTCATACATGCAGGAGCAGCAACGGAGGCAGTCTATTCCAACCACTTTTTCGCAACAGGAGCACCACAGTGCAGCACCCGCAGAGCAGCCATTGACCCGACAAACACCTGACGTCAAGGCTGAACGCCCGTCGTCTCCGCCCCCACGACCGCAACCAACCAAGTCAAGGAGCATTTTCACACCAATTGACGACCGTGGATCGGTTCTGGCTCAACATTTCGGTTTTGGGCCGCCAGCAGAATCGCCAAAGGCTGAATCACCCGCTGTCAAACCTGAGTCTGAGAAATTTGCAAAGTCGTCGGCTCCACCGCCCAGGCCAGTTCCCGTGCCCCCGCGTTCGCATCCCCAACCACAGCGAACCCAGTCGATATCTTCAATTCCTGATATTACACCAAATTCAAGGAATAATAGCATAGCTAGCGTTAGACGACCACAGCTCAAAGTCCAGATTCCCAGCGAGCATTCCGACGCGGGTGACGCCACAGAGGAATCAGGACATGATTCCGGCACTACTGGAGCGACTCCGGCAAGGGGTGGTTCCGATCCAGGTCATTCCGCGGTAGTGCTTCCTCCACCTTCACCCTCTGCTAGCGCATTATTAAGTGCAGGTGCTCATGGCCCTCCAAATCCTTTCGCAAGGCCTCCACCTCCAGGTGCTGTACCGCCGGGCGCGGCTGCTTACAACGGTGGCAATAACAATATTGAAACTCCCATCTCTGCACTACCTAGTCGTTTTGTCTCTGAGGCCCTTCTTCCTTCCCCATCCAGCTTCTACCCCGAGTGGGGCTTTGGACGATCTGGCCCGGATAGTAATATGCTCCCGAGTCCGCTTACTTTCCCAACACCCGTCATGCAGTCCGGTCCGGGATTCGTAAAGGAGACGGAAAGCCAGGAGAAGAAACGGAAAAGTCCTGATAGCGGACCGGGTGTTCCGGAGTCTGTCGGACCAGGAAAGAGGCTGAAAGTTGATAGTTAAATATCGTATATTGGCTACGCAGCATCTATTTGCCCTTCTGGTTTTATTGCATCCAGGCCCGAGATGGGGGTTTTATTTCCACGGCGTTCTCGAATGTGCAGTTGGCTATCTATCTTTTTACGTTGGATATCTTTTTTTCCAAACTCTCCTTTTCGAGGGCGCACCGCTCCCTTTGGTACCCTCCAAGCGTTCAAAACTTATTCCTCTCTTGTCTCGCATCCTCTATCTCTGCCACTCTCGCCTTCGATCTCTGTACGATCTAAAATATTCATATTTGGCTTGAATTTATTCTTACTTCTTTTTTTTTTTTTTTTTTTTTTTTTTTTTTGATGGATACCAATTCTCTTTGGCGTTTGTTGAGATCTGTTTGTCCTTTTTTTGGGTTATGCCTGATGCCTTCTTTTGCTCCTTTTGAATTTTTCGTTTTTTTTGATGAAAACACTGTTGCACCAGGCAAACTGAATTTTACTGACGTAAATCATGGCTTGGACCTTTTCTGACAACAGAAAAAGAACCGAAATATCACCCTTTGTTTAAAATTTAATATAAATATGATTACCGTTGATCAATTCGTCCCTTGACTGTGCTTCAAAATTATCAAGGAGGCTGCTTGGGCGGGAGCCAGTATCAACCACACGAACTCTCATTTGGAGGAAAGAAGATAGCAAAAAAAGAACGGTTTTCTTTTGGTTTCTATCCTCTGCAGTGTTTGCAAGACCTTTATGTCCGGACAACGCCACGCTTCTATTCTAAAAATATGCTTTGCTGACCTTCCAAACCATCTACCAAACGCCCATATCTACCTTAGATATTCACATCAACCAACTGTGCTATCCCATCTCGGGGGGTGTTCTGAACACAGTGACGAGGTAACGACCTAGTTATATCTCAAAAGCAGTATTGGGACCCGAGATTATTACGCCACGGTATCGCAACCCCCAGGCCGTTATATTCATGCCCCATCGTCTTCTTTTCTAGGACCGACGCCCGCACCGTTAGAACGGCAGCTTCACCCAACACACATGGCCAATGGACATTAACCATTAGTTTCCGCAGGCCCATCTCTTTCAACTTCATGAAGGGCGCCATGACCTGTTCGCACACAGACCACCAATGTGGAGTTGGGTCAGGGGCACCATCCTCGCTATTCAAGCTTTGCACGTAGCGTAGATGCGAGCGTTTAGAAAGACCTATATTGACCTCTATTGTGAGTTTCGCCAAGTCCATTGTGAGTGCGATGATTTCCAATACTCCTTTCCAGTTTGGCTGAAGTAGCCCAATGCAAGCCGCTGGCAAGTGGAACTTGATGTATCGGAAACTCTGGAAAGAGTCACTCGGGCAATGAAGGAGCTCCGTATCAATGTTCAAATAATAGGGATTGAAAGCGAAAGTGTTTTTCGAATGGAATATATGCAACGCTTGTGCCCTCATTTCGCGGCTGACTTGAAACAGGGCTCGTGGCGGTGACCAGCACGGTGAAGTGCTACTGTAAAGGAAGGGGGAATCGGAGCCAACCCCATGCGGCTTTCTCCCCTGGTAATGACGTAAACAGCAGGCGAAATGTTGTAATCGGTACTTAGCTGACCACACGATATCTCTGTTTGGAAGCACAAGGTCCGATTGCTCAAGCACTAGGAGCTGCAGCTCATGAGGAAGACGCGTGAATGGAAACTGAGTACCGTCAAATCCGATTTGCCCAGTTACTCGAAGCAGGGTAGTACTCATAAAACATAACCGTGAATCAAATTTCCAGCCAGGGAGGGAAATGTCACAGCTGTTCAAAGGCGGCAGGCTAAGCAGAGGCTGAAGCATAGAGGCGATGAATTCAAAATTTGGATTTGATATCGTGAGAGCGAGCCGCAGTTGATACGGTGATAAACATTTGGCGAGGCGATAGCACAGCTGCTCCCACTCCTGCAGATAGTCCGCTTGACTGATGTGGCCACCGATGCCATCAGGCAGCGTAATGGTATTATATTCGATACACGACTTCCCATGTCGGCTAAATTCTGGAGGAACAGTCACCCGGAGGACGGTCATGCAATGCAAACCAGGTGTCGTTGCAACGTCCGAGAATCTCAGAGATGGAGAGGTAACAGTTAAATCAGTAGCTGTAGTCATCGCTCCCCTATCTAATAATATCAAAAGCGCAGTATAAACTCGAGCAAGGGGGGTGGAGGGGGTGATCGGAATCTTTGTGGTTTCCGCTGACTTGACTGTTGAAAGTCAGGTCGATCTGTGTAAGCGAGCAGAAGCATTGTCAGCGTGAGTTTTCCCCTAATAGCAACGAAGTGAGTGTCCAGTGGGTTGCTCCTTCTGGGAGGTCATTGATGTCACTTTCCTCACGCGAATAGAAAGTGCAAACTGAGCAAACAAGCACGCGCCAAGACCACACCAGAGCCAATCACATGAACTTCCTTCTTACATAATTAGGGCTTCGCTAATCTCCTAATTGGGCCTAGTTTCTCCGCACCGAAACCACCACAACTGCATTTCGACCGCTTCCCGCACGGTGGATGTTCAACGACAACGACGACCCTTTGCTATTCAACCAACGACCACCAGGGGCCCTTTTTCGTGCGGTTCCTCTCGAACGGCTTAATATTCAGCGGGTGATTTGCTGAATACCTCCCGACTTTGCCAGTTGCTCGTTCCCGGAGTTACGACAGGAAATAGTCAAGATGCCTTCCGCTCACGGACACAGATGTGAGTGCGCCCTTCTTTATTACTCTTTCTACTGTTTGCTGGAGGATTGCTCGTATGAATTGTGAATTGTGTCGGATTCGATAATGTGGACGGGAACATGTGCAACACTTGGATCGGGGAACGCGAATGCGTATATTTGAGCGTTGTTGATGATTCTCAACTGGAGCGTGGATGGCTAACATTGTACCTGCGTCTGTCTAGTATACGTCAAGTAAGCGATGCGCTCCTCTCTCGTTCCCGAACTGGGCCGACTAAATGGCCGGATTATATGATATTCGGAGGATTGCGAATGACATGTTTGCTACGAAAACATTGCTGACGGAGGGTAATGATTAGGGGCCGACACCTGAGTTATCAGCGTGGCAAGCGTAACACCAACCCCAACACCAGCCTGATCAAGCTTGAGGGTGTCGATGATTCGAAGGCTGCCAGGTAAATACTCCTGGAGAATTTGCGCTCAAAAGGGGACGATGAGTTAACGAACGAATGTGTTATCAGCTTCTACTTGGGCAAGAAGGTCGCATTCGTTTACCGGGCAAAGCGCGAGGTGCAGGGATCCAAGATCAGAGTCATCTGGGGCAAGGTCACCCGGCCACACGGTTAGTTGCTCCTCGTCTATAGTCGGTCATCTGTGTGTCTTCGCTCTTGGGGCTAAGAACAATACTAGGCAACTCCGGCGTCGTCCGCGCTCAATTCAGAAACAACCTCCCTCCCAAGTCCTTCGGTGCTTCCGTCAGAGTCATGCTTTACCCTTCGTCCATCTAGATCGAATTCCCGTCAAAGGGAGCTGGGGTTGCTGCAGGGGGCTTTTGAAGTTGCGGAAATCGACAGCTTACCGGAGCTGGGTGGGCAGACATAGCCATGGGCAATATGTGACCAGATTACATGGTTTGAGAAAAAGCGCAGAAAAAATAAAGAAGTACTAGGAATACTCCCGTTTGAGGCCAGGACGACAGGGTTTTCGCGCTCGCATTTCCGATTTATATGGGTATCATTTTGTCTCTTCTTGTCCCTTATCCTGGCTGCGGAACATCGACTAGGAGTCAGTCCTAAGATGGATTGGGTGGCGCCTTCTAGATGTCGACGTTTTAATGAAATCAAATGGGTCCATAACTCCGGATATCTTCGTTTTTTTTGCGCCTCCCTCAGCTGTGGAAATCTGTTTTTTGCTTTCTCGCTTTGTCTACGCCCTTTACTGGGCTGTTCTTTATCCCCGACTTTAATTCTTTTAACTTGACGAAATTATGTCAATAGAAAAGAACAAAACTGAATATGCTCAAGTTAATCAGCTGTCAAGCTCGGAAGCTCCATTCAGGAATCCATCGTCATTTGTGCTGAGCAGCGTTGAATCCTCCGTAGATTGTGGGTTTGGTTTGTGGAGTAAGGAGCTCCATCTTTCACCTCGTTTAGGTGCGGTGCTGACAGTGCATTGGCTATACCAAATAGTCACCAATCATGCCGTGAATGGCGTCTCTCGAAAGCAGGTTTTCATCGCATCATACATTGATGATTGGCGTATACTGACAGCTGGAAGGCGCATGCTGCAGCGTGCCAGTACCATAAAGTACATAGCGCACTAGTTCGTCTACAACTTGGCCGCTGATCAATGATCTTTGCGACAACTAATCACTCCGCGTATCTCTTCGGAAGCATGGTGGAGACAATTCGTCAGCCAGGCCAGCGTGAAAGGAAAGCTGGTTCCCATTCGTGCATCTAGGATTTCGAGGATGGAGACACTCCTGCCATTGCTGTTCTCCGCTTCTGGGGAGGAAACAGAGAAGAATGCCCCATGAAGACCATGGAGGACAAAGTTGAAGTAATCCGTCACCACATTGGCAGAGTGCAGCCCACTTCCTCTCAAACTGCCGAGGAAACGATCGGTGGCGGTAGGGCTGGTCTGTGAGGTGGATGGAGACGGCCATCCAGACCAGACGCATCTGATAATACAAGAGAAAAACGCAGGTATATGGTAACTTTGCATCTTGGCAGGTCCATGGCACGGAGTTTGGGTAGTTTGCTTTAGTTACTGTCCAATCAGTACGGCCTGAGCCCTGGCGCCAAGTTTGATACCAGATTTAGCGGTAAACCCATACGGTATGGAGCTGCTTACGTGTTCCAGGGATGATGGCCTGCTTTTGAGTTTTCCCCAGCCAGCGCAAGAAGAACCCTTCGATCGGAGTTAATACTGCCAGCCATGACAGCACGACGAGATATACACGCGGGGGCGGGCAATTGATTGGTTTTGCATTGATTTCACACTCCTGGGATTGCTGGTGGATGCCTGTACTCCAGACTGCCAAATAGCTAGTTAATTGATCTCTCTTTGACCTCTGGCGCCCTGCTCAGCTTCCTGGTAACTCGTCAGCCAAGTTTGCGCGCTCTCGCCATCCAGATCTGAGACAGATGCCACACAGTAGCATGCCGGCGCTCCCGTTCGCCCTCTCACGCCCACTCGTATCCTAGGCGCAGACAATTGCATTGCTCTCCGATCTGCTGTCCCATTGCGGCTTGACTCTGCGGCTTGACGTTGCGTCACCTTGCTTCACGGCGGCTTGTCTGCTTCCTCTTCCTGCCGAGCTTTTTTGCCCTCTGGCTTTCACCACGAACACTTCACCAGTCCTCTTTTCCGTTCACTTAGTTTCTTTCAGCGTCGCTCACTCCCTCTCACTCTCTCTGCACACAGACGCATCTTTGTTCTTGACTTTCATCAAAGTTGTGGTTCATCGTCTTCATCATCTGGCTTTGCTGTGCTGATTTCCATCATGGCGGCTGCACCAGAGCGAGCTAGGCATAGCCGTATGCTGAGCTTCACAAGCAACAAGTCGGATAAGAGTTCCAAAACCAGCAAGAGCCGTGGGTCTAAGATTAAGGTCAATTTGGTCGAGAGTCACAAAGAGAAGGAAGCGAATCGAGTGCATACCCACGCGGATCCGACTCTTGCTATCAGTGAACTGCAGCCATGTATGTCGAGGACCGCCATGTTTTGTTTTCTTCGTTGTTGTTCGTTGTTGCTGATGTTAATCTGTGGTTAGCCGCCATTGCGCAGGGAAAATCGAATTTGGAGTCTCTTCGAGGTATCCAGCATAAAGATCGGTTTGGAAATGTCATTAGTGAGTCTTAACTCTGCGTGTGATGGGCGCGGGTTGCCGTGGAATCGGATTTTGCTGACGTGAGATTGCCTTTTGCGATATCCAGCGGAACCTGACCTTTCTAATCCCACGCGTCATCGCTTTGAACGTCCTCTTGATACCATTCGCGCCTTCGAGGCAGCAGTTGACGGGACCTATAACAGTCGCAGGCTGTCCTACGTTCGAGGTATTTTAGATATTATGGCAGTGATGGTAGAAAAGGTGCCGAATGCTAACGGTTTTATAGAGGATAGCGTGAATGGTCAAAGCCGCCCAACTAGCTATTTTGGAGGTCAGTCCATGGGGTTGCTTTTCGGTCGCGGGGGAGATAACTAATATATCCTAATAGACCCCCGAGGAAACCTCAGCTATCCTGCGCACAATTTCAACAATCAAAATGGTTACTTCAACAATCGAGGCTTCCAGAGACGAGACAGTCAGGCTGATGCTTACGGCGGATTCAATTATAACCAGCACAACAATTACAATGATAGCCAGGCACCACGCCCCTCTCGACATACTGGGCGCTCGCAGACCGATCCGTGGGGCCATTCACCCAACGGCCATGCACAACAAAGCCAGTATCAAACGTACGATAGTGGATCTGCTTCCGGCTCCGGAAACCATTCCCTCGATCAACTAGCTCAGTCTACAGATCCAAGCTCCCTTGCCAGTTCCAGAGAAGGCCTACAACAGCAGCAACAACTGCAGCCACAGACCAGTGAAGTTCAAATCGCTGCAGATTATGGTTTCGCAGGATTCGGCACTGATCCACAATTGGTTCCCCCCCAAGGAACTTTCCAACCTGCCTCTACCCAGCCGACCGGTGCAAATGGTGGAAATAACGGTGCGCTGCATGTAGATACTTATGCCAGCCAGGCACTTGCTCCTCCTGCTCCACCAGCAAAAGACCCAAAACAGCCCGAAGCTGAACCTGTCTCGAAGAACTCGTTCTTCCAAAAAGCCAAGGGAGCGACTGAAAAACGGAAGAGTTGGTTCAAGAGACTGAGCAAGTCTTAGAAGTGGGCATGAAAACTGTTGATATTACGACTATTCAGACGAAGATTCTGCCATTTGGCTTGATCGCACGAGATACGATTTCATTTGATGCGCAACGAATTATCTTAAGGAATGGTATGGGGATAGGTTCATGAAATTAAAAAAAAGGCCGGTATTCGCTTCTATGAGTTAATGTTTTTTAAATCTGGTTTAACCCTTTGCTTTTTTTTCCCTGATGCAAATTTGTCTGAGTCGATAACTACTTAACTCCATCTGCATGTGTCTCTGTTTATTTTTTTTAATTTGTTTTTGATGGCGCTGGGGTATGGCGACTGAAGCTTCATGACGGCGATGTGCCATTGTTTTCTTCGTCTTTTATCTCGGGAAAATGACTTGAATTGGGAAAAGGAAATCTGTCGGCTGACCTTTGCAGAAAGGGGATTTTACGGGAAACCTCTCAGACAATTCTATTAACTGATAAACACCGGCGCAATGGGCGGTAGTTGGGTCTCTGCGGTCTGTCTGCAAAGATGGAATGGGATCTTTTGATAAATGTGATACCACTCTTCTGTTAGCTAGGGGATTAGATTTGGTAGCAACTACTCTGTAAGCTTGATTTAATCTGTTGTATGTGTATTCAAGTGAATCTCTTCTGCAATTCAATGAGAAAAGTCGTATATAGCACCTCACGCCCATATCCAGAAATATGACCCATAATATCCCAAGTCAAATAAAGTACAAACGTAACAGCCCCTCCCCGCTTCACTTCTTCTTCTTCTCCTCCTCCGCTTGCTGTAGCTTCTGCCGATCCCCCTTGTCCTCCCTCAACGCGAGAACAATATACGAAAACAGCACGAGATTCGCCGTGATCGCCGCCATGGCGCCTGCATACGTCGTGTCTCCATCGAAAAGGTTGTTTACGCTATAGAAGTACGCGGAGATGGGGAGGACCACGACGGCGACGGCGTATGCGATGAGTTTCGTGAGGACTTGTCTGCGTGAGGGATACGTGTTAGTTAGAAGAAGGGGTTGAAAAGATGGTCCTGGGGAAGAGAGAGGGGGGGCGTACTGAGGGTAGCCAGGCAGGTCTTGGAGCTGTATGACCTCCCTGGCCTGTCTGAATTGCGGTTGTTGTTGCGCTGGCGCTGGTTGGGCGGGAGAGCTGGCCTCCTGGGCGGGGTTGCGGCGGGCGGCCATGGTGGATGTACGGAGGGAGAGGGATTGAGGGTGGATTGAAAGTGGTTTGTTTTGTCGAAAGAAGATGGACTGGAAAGGGAGTCAAAGCGCGTTGGTGCTCGGGGAATTTTTCTTTTAGGCAAGCAGGGTAGTATTCGTTTATCGTCGCAGGAATAACGGCGTTGGTCCAGCTGGAGTTACATGGTGGAGCTTGGGGGGCGGCGAGCAAAGCTCCGGTCGGGGCGGGCCTGGGCGCCGGTGCCGCTAAAATGGGGTTGGGCTTAGGGGGTCGATGCCCTGAAGCGCGACTATTTACGGAGTGCTCTCTACTTTGATAGTGAATTGGGTCTGCTTTGGTCATTTAAACCCAACATGATGCATTTTCAATGAAGGGCAACTAGCAATGATCATTGGTAACATGATTTGAAAGCAAGTTATTATTCGGTCTACTCAATGGGTGAATACATCCAACTGCCATCCATGCCATTGTTCATTCAATTGAAGCAGAGTGGCATCAATGCGCAAAACGAGCCAACCTGGTCATTATAAGAGTGACTCCAGCTTCCCAATCGCCAGCAATGAACACTCAATATGATCAGACAAGTGCGCTGGCTCCTATTCTTCCCTATTGTGCACCACTTACGGTCACCTGATGGCGTGTCTTGAGCAGCGCGTCTGGCCGTCTGCCGCGCGCCACTCCAGAGTTTGCTGAGAAAATGTGGAGAGCAGAACATTTTTGACCTCAACCTCAGATCAGCTTGGGCAAGCTGCTTGGAAGCACACACATAACCAGCAGCACTAAACAACTCTCATCGGCCTTGCTTCATGTCTGCTTCTACTCATTCTTAGTTAATTTCTATATCAATAAGCTCGCGACAATAACCTCATCTTCCTCAATCCTCCGGCTGCTCCCCCGCAGGGAGCCCTCTATTCACCATGATAGATTGTATTCCCGATACACCCATTCGCAAGAAGACAGCTGCAGAAGAGCTGATTCCGTCCGCCTCGGATTCTTCCGAAGATGAGACCGTTGCGACCGTCCCACTCTACCAGTCCCTCCATTCAACCGCAACACAAGCGTCCACAATACCGACCCAAGCCCTATACACACAGAAAATGACCCAGCCCACACAAATAATTGAGCGACCTACCCCTCCCAAAAGCTCTCCTCTTCGAAATCCCCCCGTCGTTCAAGTTGCCACATCCTCCCCTCTTGCCCCGACTACTTTTTCTCGCTATCCTGCTGCTAGAGCTGGTGTTTTGTCTTCCTCAATGGCACCCAGCGGCACTCGTTTTCGAGCTCCTGCAATGGCTGCACCTGTGAAAAGAACGCCTGTTATTGATCTGGAGGATGATGGGCCTACTTATCGTGGTGGCTCGTCGGATGAAGAGGATCTACGTCGTGGCACAACTGATATCAAACCTTCCACCTTCATCAAAGCTTCAAAGAGTCCTGAGAAGGAGCGAGTGGCTGAATCTCCCGTCGCTGCAACAAAATTCAAAGAGATTACGGCTGCAGCATTCTACAATCCAACTTCTGCGTTCAAGGGCCCTGGTAAACGACAGGCAGACACCACTCGAGATCCTTCTGCGAAACGCCCACGCAGCAATCTTACCTCTCCAGTTTCAGAGCCCTTGGCTCTTGCCGACATTGAAGATTACAATATTAAAACCAAAGTGGAGCGGATGCGCAACGTCTTTCCCAACAAATCTGTTCAAGCTTGCTTGGATGCATTACTGGCTAAAAAAGGAAACTATGAAGATGCGGTGGATTATATTGGGCAGCTCGACGATGCTCCAGTTGAAAACGCCATGTCCGACGACGAACTGAGCCTCGACCACAAGTCTGCGGGCCCATCCGCGCCAGTTAATACCGCAAAACAGCAAATTAAAGCGCGAACTCGAATTCAAGACAAGTGGGCAACGGGCCAGCGAATCGGCCAGAGAGCAGGCTCTCCACAAGCACGTCGGCGATTAATCAGAGGAAGCAAATCACGACGAGTTTCTCCTATCCCCATTTCGTCTCCTGTCACCGGCGGTATTACGAAGAAGCCTGGAAGGCTTGTAAGAGGAAGAAAAGCCAGATCTCGATCTCGATCTGAATCCCCAGTGCTCTCCTATGTTGAATCCGATGATTCTGATTCTGCACCTGAGGCATCGGAAGATGATGGTTCGTTGCAAGTTAAGGTCTTGAAATTTTTCAACACCTGCTCCGCAGACGACCTCGCCGACATCGCGGAACTCGCTCCTGACGTTGTCACCCATTTTATGTCTAAGCGCCCATTTACTTCTTTGGCACAAGTGCGCGAGATTTCGATTGAACCCGTTCAGCCAAAGGGAGCGAAAGCTCGAAAAGCTAAAAAACCGTTGGGCGATAAAGTTGTCGACAAGTGCCTTGATATGTGGACCGGCTACGAAGCTGTCGACGCTTTGGTCAAGAAATGCGAAGATTTAGGCAAGCCGATTGCTGAAGAGATGAAGAGATGGGGTGTCGATATATTTGGCTCCAAGACCGCAGGAGAATTGGAGTTGGTGTCCTTGGAGAAATCAAGTTCCTCCCACGATTCCGGCGTTGGAACTCCCTCCAGCGTTAGCAGTGAATCAACTGGCAATAAATTCATTGGACAACCGGCAATCATGAGCGAGGATATCAAAATGAAAGACTATCAGATTGTTGGAATCAATTGGCTCAGCTTGCTCTTCGAGCAAAAGTTAAGCTGCATTCTTGCTGATGACATGGGACTGGGCAAGACCTGCCAGGTTATTGCTTTTCTGGCTCATCTGTTCGAAAAAGGCGTTTCAGGACCTCACCTTGTCGTTGTGCCTTCGTCAACATTGGAGAACTGGCTCCGCGAATTCTCAGTTTTCTGCCCAAAGTTGAATGTCATGCCGTACTATGCTGGCCAAAAAGAACGGGCGATCATCCGGGAGCAGATCGAAGACGACCGTGAAAATATCAACGTTGTCATTACCACGTACACCATCGCCAAGGCGAAAATGGACGCAGCTTTTCTTTCGACAATGGACTTCTGCGCTTGTGTATTCGACGAGGGACATATGCTAAAGAGCAGCAAGTCACAGCTCTACAACAAACTTATCCGCATTCCTGCGCAATTTCGCTTGCTCCTTACAGGAACACCATTGCAGAATAACTTGCAGGAACTAGCATCACTTTTGGGATTCATTCTACCCCAAGTGTTCAAGGAGCGAAAAGATGACCTGGAATATATCTTTAGCGCAAAGGCCAAAACCATTGATACACATTCAGCCCTACTTTCAGCACAGCGAATTGCAAGAGCCAAGTCAATGCTTACTCCGTTTGTGCTTCGCCGGAAGAAGCATCAAGTGATTGATTTACCAGCAAAAATTACGCGTGTTGAGTATTGCACGTTGAACGAGGCGCAGAAATCAATTTACGAAAATGAGATAGAGACAGTACGACGTACCCTTGCTGATCGTGCAGCTGGCAAGAAAATTGGAAACAAGTCAACCAACATCCTTATGAAATTGCGCCAAGCTGCAATCCACCCGCTCTTCTACCGTCGCCACTACGATGATCAGACCCTCAGTCGAATCGCAAAGGCGTGCTTGAAGGATCCAAAGTGGGCAATGTCAGACCCGGACGCGATCTATGAAGAGCTAGTTGCGTACAATGATTTTGAGTGCCATACGTTGTGTTCGAACAGTCCAGATGCCCTGGGTAAATTCGCACTGAAAAACGACGAATGGATGAATTCTGGCAAGGTCGAGAAGCTGTGCGAACTTCTCAAGAAGTTTACCGAAAATGGAGACCGGGTGCTGGTATTCTCTCAATTCACCATGGTCATGGATATTCTGGAACATGTTCTCGAGACTTTACAGATTAGATTTTTCCGTCTGGATGGTACAACTTCTGTCGAAGACCGGCAGTCTATCCTCGACGCGTTCTATGAGCAGGTTGACATTCCCGTGTTCATGCTGTCAACCAAAGCAGGAGGTGCAGGCATCAATCTGGCTTGTGCCAATAAGGTTATTATCTTCGACTCGAGTTTCAATCCACAGGATGATATCCAGGCGGAGAATCGGGCACACCGTGTTGGCCAAACTAGAGAGGTTGAAGTTGTGAGACTGGTCACCAAAGATACAATTGAGGAGCAGATATATGCACTTGGCCAGACGAAGTTGGTGCTCGATCAGCGTGTTGCTGGGGAGGAAGAAGGTGGGAAGAAGGGTGAGGAGGCAGGAATCAAAGCCGTTGAAGAAATGGTGCTGGCAAAGTTGGAAGATGAACAGAGTGAGAGGAAGGACGCTGGGGAGCAGCAGGGCTGAGTGTTATGCGAAGAAATCCAGTGGAAGACGGCGGAAACAGACTGAGAGGCTTCGGCGACTTAGGATTTGATTTCGGCTCGGTGTTCGTTTGCGAATGGGACGTTTTGCTTTTTGTTTCTGCTGTTGTGCTTGCGGCCTTTTTTCCCTCCTACATTCGGTTTCGTTCTCGCCTTTTCTTTTTCCTGTTGTACTCGTTTTCCCGGTCCCTGTTCTCCCCTGTTTGCCTCTCTCGTTCTCCAAGATTCCCCCTTGTGGCAAAAGAAATCAAGACCATTGTCTGATGGCCAGTTGCGTGTAGTTGAAGATTTCCCCCCAGTCCGGAGTTGCGGTTTGACTGATCCAGATTGTTCTTCACATTTGCTAGACTCGCTTACCCACATAGATTTTAGAGACATTTGCAACTGCATTGCATGGCATAGCGGTAGTTTACCCTTGAAAACCTCGTGTTGTCGCTGTTGAGGTCTTGCCTCGTTCCCGGCTTCCCCTGTGCATAGATATATGTGAAAGCATCCCTGACGGTCCCTTTTTCCTCTCCTCGCTAACCGGCCCTCTGATCAGCCTCATTCTGCAGAAGATGCTGTCTTGACTTCTGCTCCGCTGCGTTATATCTGTGTTTCTCCGCGATTGTTACGTGGAGCAATTTCCCGTCCATCCATATTCCTCTCAAGACATTTCAACTCCATCTGAGCATTCTCCATACTACAAGAAGCGCATCAAAGCCCTGGCGCCCACCCGATCAGCTCTCTTTCAACCCCGCAGCATCCGCACGTACCGCTCGGCATCCCCGCCTTAACGAACTTGCATGGCGATAGGGACCGGGGGGGAGTGATGATCCTTGTTGTCTGGGGGAGGTTTTTTTTTTTTTTTTTGAGAGAGTGTGCGTTGATATTGGGCTGGGAGGTAGGGATGGGATGGGTGAGACCCGGGGCCCTTGCATGACTGTGCCTGGCGGCGAGAATATTGGCGAGGTTGGGTTAGTGATGGATGGAGCTTTGGTTTGATGATGTTGGAGATGGAATTGATTCGGCGCGGTGTAGAGAATTGTCATGGAAAATGGAGGGCATGCCAATGGCATATTTGCTAGGAATGAAAGGACCAAGTACTGTATGTGCATCCGTAGCCGTCGAATCTTCAAAGCCTGAAAAGTGATATTCTAGTTGCTTTTCCCTATTTCTTTCCTTCCACTACTATAACGCTGGCGTAAGAACGGAGTGGATGAAAGTCCCAGAGACCAGGAAACGGAGCTTTGTCCACATCTTTTGCCATTTGGGATACTGATCATCAAACTTTCAGCTCTCGTCCGAAGCTGGCTGGCCGCATTGTCCCTGCTTCCTGATTGCCCGGGCAGTTTGATTTGATTCCACCATGTCGGAGAGACTTCGGGCACGGCTTCTGAGGTGGATGGCGCTGGTTTTGTGACCGGCGAGAGGATGACGACTGGACAGCTTGTTTGCCTTTGAAAGTGAGTGTGGGCTAGCTGGTTTGGACACCAGTATCCATATCCATTATCGTGGATCATCGTCCTTCCTGGCAGGTTGGAGAAGCTGAGCAATCGGTTGAACTGTCCGCGGTTGTCATAGCTCAAAGACGCAGAAGAGCCCACTGCGATCACCTCTCCACGAATCGTCCCATTGCGGTATCATTGATTCGAATGCCTCATCCAACAGGAATCCTCAAGACCATCCTGCCTCTTGTTCTTTGTCGAGAGTTGTGTTTGTGGAGAGCAACTCTCGTGGCGGGAGATCATCGTGGAGAAAAGAGCCCAACCGGGATCGATGCTGGAGAGCCAGAGACAACATCCAGCACTAGACCGCAGGGGGAAAGTCGAAGTGCCGGCCTGAATCCTTGCAGCCGGGGACCATGAGCTCATTTCGAGCAAGACATCAGCAGCAAGTCATTGAAGGGCGGAGGTTGGTGTGTGCTGGTTAGTCATGGTCCTCTTTCAGACGTCCTGCGTTCTCCTCCCTCGATGTTCTGACCACAACAACCAGAGTCCGCCATCATCGTTTCTTCTTCTTCTCTTCTTCTCGCTCACCACCTCCTGAGCAGTGAGCACACATGCCTGGATGGTACCTCGGCCTCTCTGCTCCACAGCGCCAGTGGCGACTGCAGTGACCATCCCTGGAGCGCTTGTCTCCTTCGCGGGGACGCCCAGGTGCTTCTGACCCCGAAGATCCTCTCTCGAAGCTGCTCGGAAGCCGCTGACCTCACCTCTTCTACGCCGGCCTGGATCGATCACGGGCTAGCGGCGTCGATCCAGCACCGGCGATAGGCTGAATCGCTGAGTCCGCGTCTGTGAAGCTCCTCACCATCGTCAATGAAACGTTGCGCCTTGGCATCTGGGGGAGATTTCCTCGAGCCGTTGTGCGCTTTGCTCGTGCCGTCCTGGCCAATCTCTCCTTCGCTTCTTCCAAGACAACGGGTCCAGGGGCGTGTGCTGTGAAAGGGAACCCATGCCTTTTACCACTTGGGTCACGGCCACTGAACTCTGAGCTGGCCTCTTTTCGCCTTCTCGTCTGGTTTGGATTACAATCCCCAATGATGCTTGTTCTCGTATTCTCGGTGCTCTCTTTGTCTTCTTTCTTCCATGATCGACATGAAAACCTGGGGATGTGGCCGCTCGCCGAGCGGCCCGATCTGTGTACAGCCGAAGATAGGAGAGCCACGGAACCTCTCACGCCTTCCCACGAGGACTCGTGGAGATCAACTCCGCCATCGCGACCGACAGCTCGTTTGGTCACGTTCTCTTCCAGGCGGATTCTGGAAGAACGCCCATGGCGATCCCCGCCGCTGCCATTGAATACGGAAGTCTAATTATAATTACCCTTTGATGAATGCTCTGGCTGAATGTGCCTATCATCATCTCCACCAAAAGCAACGAAGGAATTCCGCATTTTATTTTCCGTAATGAACGGGACCTGCCAAGAAGGTTCGAGAGGCGACAAGGTAGGATTTGATCCTCTCACCATTCCACCGGTCTTTTCGTGGATGTTCCTTTTGAGGTATCATTTCGCTTGCCAAGGCGCCTTCTCGACTTGTATACCGGCCATGTTCGCTCGTATCTGTGGTGCCAGGGAACCTAAACCCCCATGATCCAGGAGCATGTCGTACGGAGGAGTCGGCCCAAGTCTTATTATTTCACAGGATCAAAGGAAATGGGGCCCTTCCTTCAACCCGCAGACCCAGACTTTGGGCGGAGATCTGGGGTAGCATTCTGCCTGACAGGTGCTTTTTTTTGCTGACTCTTATTTGGGATTCGATATGGCGCAGGCGGCAGATCGCGGCCATCGGCGGCGGACGGCAATATGCAATCTCCCAGTCAGGAGAGCCGGTTGGGTGAAGATGGGGAGAAGACCTGGCGTGCCTGAAAAGAACTTAAAAGAGGGAGCTATTCCCCCGGAATTTTTTTTCCTCTTGACGATCCTTTCCCCTTGCTTCTGTTGTGATCAGGAGTAAAGCCTGGGCTGTCGATTCTGTTGCTTTCTCGAGTGGTGATAGTTGTGTGTAAAAGCACAATTCAATCACAATGAAGACCACCGGCTATCTTGCCTTGGGCGCTGCCCTCGCCTCGTCCGCTTCGGCCGCTGGCCTCCAGAACCCGCAATTGGGAAAGAGAATCCCAGACATCTTCAAGCCACTCGTCTCCCATGTATGTAACCGGTCTATTTGCGCGCACGCAGTTTCAAACCGGCCGAAGCTGACAATTGTGCATTTAGGATGAATTGATGGCTCGCGTCAAGCTACGGGACTTGGAAGCTGGTATCGACAAGTTGCAGAGTTTTGCTGATGCTCATGACAATACTCGCGTGTTCGGTGAGGAGGGCCACAGGCTCACCGTCGACTACATCTACAACGAGCTCCGAAAGACGGGTTACTACCATGTCACCAAGCAGGAGCAACAGCACTTGTGGACTCGTTCCGACCAGGAATTGAAAATCAACAACAAGGAATACGATGCCGGTGCCATGACCTACAGCCCATCTGGAAGAGTGGAGGGAGACGTTGTCTTCGTGCCAAACCTCGGTTGCGCCGCTGTAAGTTTCTGGAATGGCCCATTAAAGCGCAATCATGGCTGATTCGTATCGTGTAGGGTGACTATCCCTCTGACACTGAGGGCAAAATCGTTCTCCTTGAGCGTGGAACTTGCTCCTTTGCCGAGAAGTGCGCCCTTGCCTACAAGGCCAAGGCTGCTGGTGCCGTTGTGTACAACAGCGTCCCCGGACCCCTTCGTGGCACTCTGGGTGGTGTTTCTGACGAAACCGTCCCAATTGTCGGTATCTCCAGAGAAGACGGCCTTGCCCTTGTAGGCGAATTGGAGAACGGCAGCCTCTCTGCGAACCTGTTCGTTGAGTCCAGGAGGGAAAACCGAACTACGTGAGTAATGTTGATTATCTCTACTCCGGGCATCATAGGCTAATGCGCTTGTTCAGCTGGAACGTCATTGCCCAGACCAAGGGCGGTAACCAACGCAACGTCGTCATGCTCGGCGCTCACTCCGACGGTGTCGATGCTGGCCCAGGTATCAACGACAACGGCTCCGGCTCCATCGGTCTCTTGACCATCGCCAAGGCCCTCACTCACTTCCGCGTCAACAACGCCGTCCGCTTCGGCTGGTGGACTGCCGAAGAATTCGGCCTCCTCGGTTCCGAATACTACGTTGACCAGCTCAGCGATGCCGAACTCGAGAAGCTCCGCCTATACATGAACTTTGATATGATTGGCTCCCCCAACTACGTCAACGGCATCTACGACGGTGATGGCAGCGCCTTCAATCTGACTGGTCCCCGCGGCTCCTCTGAAATCGAACACCTCTTCGAGAAGTACTTTGACGAGCAAGGATGGCCCCATATCCCCACCGCTTTCACTGGCCGCTCCGACTACTCTGCTTTCATCCTCAAGAACATCCCATCCGGCGGTCTCTTCACTGGTGCCGAAGTCGTCAAGTCCGACGAACAGGTCCGTCTCTTTGGCGGTGAGGCCGGCAAGTCCTTCGATCCCAACTACCATGGTGCCGGTGACACGTCCGAAAACATCCACAAGGGTGCTTACTTGTTGAACACCCGCGGTGCTGCCTATGCTGCTGCTGAATATGCCCGAAGCACTCGTTCCCTCCCACCAAAGGATGCTCCCCCCAAGGAGAAGAGAGGAGAGCGCAAGTTGAAGGGTTATGGTGGTGACCTCCTCGGAATGTGCGTTGAGAAGGCTTGCAACTACTAAATAATTCTGTGTTACGGCTTTTCTTAATGGGAGATGCTCTCATCTTCCCTTTTTTATGACGAATTCGTCAGTATTTGAGATTCTTTTCCCAACACTGTATATAATGGGAATATATAAGTATCAACAATGACAACGATATGAACTCAAAAAATAATATGTCCGGTTCCCTCTCCTTTTGCTGGAAAGAGGGGCAATATCATCCCACGCATCAGAAACATGTGGAGAAGGCAGCAGGCCAACCAAAAAGAAATATCCCATCCAGACTCCAGTGTCATTATCTAAAAAGTAAATACATTCCTAATTTGCTCCCATTGTATCACGCTCCATAGGCGCCTAATCACAACTGTGAAAGCAATCAATGTGCAAAAGATAAGAGTCCATCAATCCTGTATATAATGCAGAGCGGACGGTTTGCCATGAACGAAAATCAAAATGATAAGATTATGAAGCGGCCCAGAGATAATCATAGATCTAAAATTTTTTGCGTCCTCCTATACCATGAGAGGACTGGAAGGAAGATGCGAAGTTTCAGCCAATTTGGTTGGTATCTCTGTTATACTCGACTCAGCAGAGCCCTGTTTAGATATCAACGACCCTGTGCGGGCTGGCGCGGTTCCACCGTTGCTGGCTGCTTTTGCGGTACTATTTCCTTCAATGGCCTTGAGGACGGCTGGGCTCTTTTTTGACTCGGTGCCTATGACACTGCGTTTAGTAATTCCGAGTATTTCGTCCACCTCTTTCGCCCTGGGAATGAGATCTTCGAATCCCAGGACCGTTATGCAATCGTGGTAGGTTTTGGATCTTTTGGCTTCGGCAAAGGTCTTGTCTTTTCCTGGGATGAGTTGATTAAGTAGGTATTTTGTATTTCCCCATCGATTCTCGCACTGCATCGCCGCTTCGATGTAGGCTCGCACAAGGTCGCGCCAATGCGCTAAGCCGCCATCGGCTTGTGAGCGGAAACAGGAGAAATTAGATTCTGCGGAAGTGGCAATCATCGCGCCGTCGACGCCGTACTCGCGAATGAGAGTCATGGCCTCGTCACGCGACGTCACGTCGCCATTCATCACACATGCTACTCCTGCCTTTCGGCAGATGGATGCTATCATGGGCAGCTGTTCACGGATGGCTGCTTCACGTGGACGCATGGGAGTCGTTCTGCAATGCACGGTAAGGCCGGTTATGCCGGTTTTGCATAGACGGGTAACGAGTGACTCTGTCCGCTCCGGCTCCGCAAGAATGCGGATCTTGACAGAAATTCCAATCTCGTATGGCTTTCCCACTTCTTCGACCAGCGCCTCGAGAATAGAAACCAGTCGATCCGGAGTTTGAAGGAGCGCCGCACCCATTCCACCACTTGTGCTAAAGGGCTTCGGGCAGCCCGAGTTGACATCTATTCCGGATACGTCTGCGGCAACGATTTTCGCCGCTTCCACAGCCAACGACGGGGTTGCGGTGCCGAGCTGAAAGACCAATTTACCCCTCTCGCGAATAGGATCAATTCTAAATATCACTGCTTCTTCGGCTGGCTTATCGGTCCGGCCACCGTTCGAGGGCATACGGGTGAATTCTACCATCGAGTTCCGAGGGTTAATGCGCCGTTTTGCGCCAATGATCGAGCGGTCGATGGTTTCCGGGCCCCATACCAGGTCTGCACCATATCTGAGAGAAACGAGTCGTGAAGGGGTCTCCCCGGAGCGGACCATCGGTGCGAGGACGACTTTGCCTCGATAGTCCACCCCATTTTTCGGGATTGGAACGCGGGGCGCGGTCGATGTAATGGACGTCATGACGGCTCGGAAGATGTTGAACATGTCATTGTCAGTATTGACAGAGAAGGGAGAATGCAGGTCCTGGGAGTCAACCGGCGCAAGGGAGAGCGGGAGTCACAGAGCAGCGAGAGCAAAGGATAGCGGACGTTGTGACTCGGAATGCCCGATTGGGAAAATCGAGATCACGTGGCGATAAGCCGATAACAATTTTTAAGCTGAATAAGCAGGCTTGGCTCGATCAGATTAGATTAGATATCTAGCTAGCAGAACGGAAATAGGCCCTTTATATCAATATAACCACGGTAATGCTCTTCAGCAAGGCCCCCCAGCTTAGTTTCACTCATCAGGGTTCGTCAGTAGTGGTGGGTAGCTTGGTATTCTTAGTTATATACCTGTCCTCTTGAACAATACCTTGGGGGTAGTGCGGAGGGATGCTTCACTGAATCTGCGTTTCAGCCAACCTCAGGACGCCTTGAGTGGAAAGGAGAAGCCAAAGCTACTCGTGGAAGATACGGAGTACTCCGTATTGGGCGTCGCATTTGAAAACTGCCATCTTCCTCTCATCCGAACTGCGGTGAAATGCCGATAGCAAACAGTGCAAACAAGGCCCGCCAATGCTTGGCCCGATTTGCGGAGGCGCACCGAGCACTGCGACTTTGGTTGTGATGAGAACGGCTCAGTTATCTATCGGCGTTGTTGAGGAGATGAAGAGCATCCAGAACCAGGACTACCGCTTTGGATCTTTGCGCAATCGGCTGTAGTGACGATGCAACATCAATTTTAGAACAGTGTCAAAAGCGAGACGATCGACAGGAAACATCCTGGGCATTGACAAGGTCTCTGCGCTGCGCTCACCGCAACACCCTGAAGCCAAAGGAGAGTGTAATCGTGTCTAGTCTGCGAGCAACTGCAACGGCATCCCAGCCATGTATGGCTTGTAGACTTCTCTGGACCATGGCGCTCGGGTTGACCCTCGAATGAATGGAGCTCCAGGTCGGGAAAGACAGGAATGCATGGCACCCGTGACGGTCGTTATCAGTGAACATTTTGTGTGCCTGTCCCGTGTTGGCCTTGGGGGAATATTTCTGTTTTATATAGATTCGTTTTCCTGTGGCTTGAGAAACCTCGGCTGCCGGGACAGCCAATGACGGAGAGATGCCTAGAGCGCGCAAATTAGCCTATCGCCGAAACAAATTTTTTTGAAGAAACCGATCGCATATCAACCGCGTGTCGAAGGGAGGTGTCTCGGGAAAGCAGCGTGGGCCGACGGCTAAACATCGATCATCAGGGCTAAGGATGGAATGCTACTTAATTGAAACCTTCTTCTGACCTCGAAATTCTCTGTCAAGTATCGCAGTCAATGTCGCAATTGTTGCAGGCCGTGAGGGTGCTAGAGTGTCCATTGACCAAGGTTCCACCATCATTGCCATCACCAGCTCTAGTCCGATCCCGCTGCCGTAGCCAGAGCGTCCTGCGCGCCAGCCCCAGACACACCTCTCTCTGGCCGTGCAATCTCCTGTTTCACCGGATTGAGCACTGCCTGTCACCCTGCAGCCCTGGCGCCCTCCTCTGCCCCTGTTCATAGTGCAGCGCTGCACGGCAAGCCAGTTCTTGGGACAGCAACGACTAAGCTGGCTCCCCCCACCAACACCCACGCAATTCGCTCTCTGTGCCCCTCCTCGTCTGCGGTGTCTTCTCACACACTCCGTTTCACCTCCCCTCCCTCTCATCAGCCTGCTACTTTATCTGCTCGCAATCCCCGGGCGGCTTCCTCCACTGTGAATCGTGCTGCTCTCCTCTCCCGCCACTTCTCTGCGTCCGCCGCTCGCCCTGCACCTGACAACACCGTCGCCATGTCCTACTCCGTCCGCAAGATCGGCCAGCCCAACACTCTCGATTTCCGCGCCTATGTCGAGAAGGATGGCGTCCCGGTCTCTCCGTTCCACGACATTCCGCTTTATGCCAATGAGCAAAAGACCATCCTGAACATGATCGTTGAGATTCCTCGCTGGACCAACGCGAAACTTGAGGTATGCTGCTCGTCTCTCCAGGCGGTGCCCCGCCTTCAGCAATGAGGTCGGGCGTGTAGGCTGACGTTCTCTGTTTTTGTTTTTAGATCTGCAAAGAGGAATTCCTCAACCCGATCAAGCAAGACATCAAGAAGGGCAAATTGAGATTTGTGCGCAACTGCTTCCCTCACAAGGGTTATCTCTGGAACTATGGTGCATTCCCACGCGTGAGTTGTTTGCCCTGTCCTCCCTTTCCTATCTAAGGACATCACGTGCTGACTGTGGTGTGTGTGTTACTGCTGTCACAGACCTGGGAAGACCCCAATGTTGTCCATCCCGAGACCAAGGCCAAGGGCGACAATGACCCTCTCGATGTTTGCGAGATTGGCGAATTGGTTGGCTACACTGGCCAGATCAAGCAGGTCAAGGTTTTGGGTGTGATGGCGCTCCTCGACGAGGAAGAGACCGACTGGAAGATTATCGTCATTGATGTGAACGACCCCCTTGCCAACAAACTCCAGGACATTGAGGATGTTGAGCGCCACCTTCCTGGCCTCATGAGAGCCACCAATGAGTGGTTCCGCATCTACAGATCCCGGATGGGCAGGCCTGAGAACCAGTTCGCTTTCTCTGGCGATGCAAGAACAGGAAGTGAGCTTTCTA